AGACACTGAGCCGCTCCACGCGCGACCAGATTCACAGATACCAACTTGACGGTGATCTACTGATGTACAGTATCGATCGATTCGATGCTCCTCGCGTCGTTGTCCCCAACGACCCCGATCTACGCGCAAGAATTATACACGAATTCCATGACGCTCCAGTGGGTGGCCACTTGGGCCGTGAGAAGACTTTCGCAGCGGTATCCCGCGACCTCACCTATACAAGTGGGTGCGCAAGTGGGTCCGCTCCTGCGAAACTTGTCAACGCGTTAAGCCGTCACCGTCATCGCAAGCTCCGCTGCGTTCTCTCCCTCTGGCGACAGAGGCGTGGCGCTCTGTGTCAATGGACTTCATATTCGGTCTCCCACCCGATACTGACGGTCGTACTGGTGTTCTGGTCTTCGTGGATCGCTTTAGCAAGATGTGCCATCTCGTTTCGGTTCCGGACTCAATCACCGCGGCCGATACCGCGGTGCTCTTCATCGACGCTGTCTTCCGACATCACGGCCTTCCTGAATCAATCGTCTCTGACCGCGATCCCCGATTCACATCGGCGTTCTGGACGAAACGCTTCGACCTCCTGGGCACCAAACTCCTCATGTCGACGGCGGCGCACCCGGAGACTGACGGGCAAACGGAACGCGTCAACCGCGTGCTAGAAGATGTTCTGCGCAGCTATGCCCCGTCCTTCGAGAACTGGAGTTCCTTCCTGCCTCTTGCGGAGTTTGCACTCAACAATGCCGAGCACGCGTCGACGGGATTGACTCCGTTTTTTGTCAACAACGCGCGTCATCCACGTGTCCCCGCACAACTTGCTGTGGGCCAACCCACGGCGACTGATGGCTTCACTCTGGAGGGGGAGGAATGTGATAACCCTGCCCAACCGGTTCCGATACTGGTTCAACCACCGGTTTCCGGTGAGACAACGGTTCTGCCGTCTACGAGTTCAGCTACTCCTGCAGTAGATATCAACGCGGTGACGCGTTTACAGTCGAAGAAGATCCTCGCACCCGCGCAATCCACGTCGTCGCCGTTAGTTGATTGGACACACCGAACGCTGATCGCTCCAGCACAGCCACACTCGACTGTGGCTAACTACGCGCCGAAACCCCCAGCACGACCCGCTGACAAGGCAGCGGTATCCGACTTTGTCCTTCATCGCCAATCGGTTACCCGATTCGTCCGTGACGCGCTACAACTCGCGGTTGACAAGCAGAAGGAAAACGCTGACAAACGTGGCCGCAAGAACACAAGTGCATTCAAGATTGGTGAGCGGGTATTACTCTCAACGGATGGAATTCGTACCTCTGCTATTACGAACCTAGGCGCGAGCAAACTCGCGCCGCGCTACATTGGGCCATTCCAAGTACTACGAGTTATGGGTGATGCCTACACGCTAGACATTCCTACGTCGCTACGACTACACCCGACGTTCTACGTCGGGCGACTTAAGAAGTATCTTCCCGCGATGATCCCGGAGGCGGAGCAGGAGCATGCGTTGAGCGGCCCTCGCGATGAGCCTGTCGAGCCAGCGTCCCATCTGTCCCAGTTCCCCGCTCGCGCGGAAGAGCTCCACCCCTCGGTCCGCCAAACACCTGCGCCTCCAGACTACGCAGTCGCTGCAAGAGCTCACGATTCGACTGCCGCAGACTACTCGCCGTCGCCTCGGCGTTCCGAGAGCTCTCAGCCGCCCGCTCGGCCTCCTCCTGTGCGTGCCGAGAAGTGTTCAGCGCCTGCTCAACGTCGTCCTGGTCAACCAGGTCGCGTCGAATTCCACCGCGACGGTCCTCCGCCCATCGTTGACTCGAATGGAGATACGTGCTGGATTGTGGACCGTATTGTTGATCACGAAGATCCTCCCCGCGCGCGTCACTCGACCAAGTCGTCAGCTCAACACGCGGCTCCCGCCGCGCGGAAGTATAAGGTACGATGGCTCGGGTTTCAACCTGCTGATGATACGTGGGAGCCTCGCGCCAACTTGCTTCGTGACGTTCCTGATGTCGTCCACGACTACGACTCCAGCCTCGAGTCAAACGCGGCCGCGAGCGACCTCGCGGCGATCGACTACGTGCCCTTCGAGACGTCGAATGCGCAGGAGACGGGCTCCGTCGCGAACGCTGTCGGCGCGAGCCGCCGCGAATAGCCGCTTGGGTGAACTCGGAGAGTGAGCGCTTATACTTCTCGATCCAAGCGTGCTCGGTCGGCATGAGCGGATACTCGACAATATGCTGATCCCACTCAGCTTGCGTCGGGCGTCGCCCGATGTCACACGAACTGCAACCTTCGCGTACGTTGACATAGCACAAACGGTCTTCGGTCCAAGCGTCGTCGCAGACTTTCAGGCGCAGATCACCGAGTGAATGCTCGGCTTGTAGGGCTTCGCGATCACCGAGCCAGCCGACGACACTTTCTCCAGCCTCATGCATCCGATTCCACCGTCGGATGAATGCGCACCATGATCTCTGCAAAGCTTCGTACGTCGCGCCGTCGAGTGTTTTGTTCCGGAGACGCCTGAAGCGCCGAAAGTGGTCCTGCAAGGTGTCCAACGCGTCCGGGGTCACCGCCCCGGACATGTCGTACAGCGCCCACGGCTTCATATCCCTCGTTCAATACGCCGGGCCGAACCCCAAGTCGACTCACGCTCTCAGGTGCGATATCAGCGGTCCACCCATTGTTCAGCGTCGTCGCCGACGCTGGAGCCGTCCGCGTTGTTCCGCTTCCTGCCTGGTTCGCCGCCCCCGTCTGCTGCGCCATGTTGTTCTCGTCCGCGCAAGTTGTATTGTGCTGCTCCTGGGCTTCGCAGGAGCTCCCGCCCGTCATGTTCTCAAGCGTTCTCTTCTCCGCCATTTCCCAGTTTTTCCCGATTGTTCTCCGAAGCGCACCCCCGTTAGGTGATTGCTGTCTTAAGAGGGGGGTGATGTAATGGGCTCTCCCAAGTTGCATATGTAGGTAGTTTTATAGGTTCTTTGTAGTGGTTCACACCATTACATAAGTAGGTAGATTTGCATTACAAAAGTAGGTGCAGCAGCACACGAGTAGCGTGTGCTGAACTGCCGTCACCTTATTGGTTGAAATATGGGGAGCCAGACCCATAATCAACCAATAAGGAGTTGACGTGTATTTGAGTGGTCAGGGCAAGCTGCCCTGGACCTAAATAAAAACAGAGTTAATTTTCCTTCAGACTAAGTACTTGGTTTCAGTATCACTGAACTTGTACGCTTCCTCATCACTACGTGTAAGCAAGTAACGGACACCCCAGGCCCGTTACATTGGAGCGGCGCGACCTTCCGAGCAAAATCCACTAGGCTCTCTCGCATCCAGTTAATCGCACAAACGAATTGTTGTAACTCCCCAGCAGTTGTCGGGTACGGCAGCGATCGTAAAATGTCGATCCGTGCTGGATCATGTCGAACACCTTGGTGATTGATCACACGTCCGCACCATTTTACTTCTGTCTGGTAGAGACTTGATTTCTTGACGCTCCAAATTGATTCATCAAGGAGAAAAGCTCAGCTAGCTTCTTCAGATACACCTCAATGTCATCAGCGTACAACAAGAGATCATCGATCCAGATCAAGAGATGCTCATACAGCAAACTTGCGAAACACTCCTCCATCGTCTTCTGGAAATGAATCGCTGCATCTGCGCATCCTTGGGGTATGTGAAAATCTTTTCATCAGTCATGCAGGACATGAATTCTTGTCAGAGCTCAGCTAGTGGCAACTGCCAAAAACCTTTAAGGAAGTCAAAGAGTCCAAAGTGCTTCATATCACGTGCATTTTCCAAAACTAATGAAAGAATCGGCATCACAGCTGCCATCACTTCAGTCTGCTCATTCCTTGCTCGATAGTCCGTTGTTTGCCTTAAGTCCATAATGTCAGCTGACTTCTTGACTGGCAGAACGGGGCTCGCCCATCGACTCTTGGGGTTCTCGTAGACGAGTCCTAAATCCACAAGACGAGCATTGAATTCACGTAAGAACTTTCGGATGTGCGGAGGATATTTACGGGGCTTACACTTTGTAGGACGAGCCCCATCCTTCAGTCGTACTTCCAGCGGTGGCACATTAGATGGGGAATCATCACGGAGTTCAAGTCGCCAAATATCGTAGGCGTGCGCCGTCGTCCGCAATTTCTCCACATACTCCACAGGAAATCCATTCTGCAATGCACGATCAATCAGGTGCTCCACAGCGGCAAAAATTTCATCATCTCCACTGGGCTCAGAAACATCCAAGTTCACAGGTATCTCATCTGCCTCCAGATCAATCGGGTCACCACTGGTTTCGTCATCACAGCGCGTAGCTAGTTGTTCGAGCTGGCGGTCGACGTCAATCCCTAGCGAGGTTAATGGATCATTTCCCACTATGAATTCTCCGTCGTCAATATCAACCACTAATACGTCCACCATGTTCATTGGCTCAACGGGTCCAGCGGCTGTGTGTAACATCAGATACAACTTGGCCTTCAATTTGGCCGTCACAGTCGTCGATCCAAATGTCTGGTTTAAGATTGGAACCTCGAGTTCCTCAGTCGTTACACTTGGGTCCAGAGCCTTCAATTGCTCCCAGTGTGAGTGTCCAATAACTGTGTAGTCCGACCCACTATCAGGGCAATATGGCAGCTCTAGCACGCCATTTAACATCACCACACGTTCAGCAGACGGAAGTAATTCACCAAGTCGCTTCAGCTTCGCCTTCTTGTTCCCACGACCATCACGCATCTTCTTGTACAGCTCTTCTTTCTCCTGCCGAGAGGCTTGAGTGCACTCGCGCAACCAGTGCATCTCCTGGCACTTCGGACATGGTCCTGGCGGAGGTTTCGTCGATCCAGAAGTCGTAGGCTTGGTCTTGGAATACAAAAACTTAGGCTTGGACTCGGGGTCTGCTTCACCTTTGGCTTTCGCGGTGACAGACGGCTTGGGGTCCCAACGCTTCTTCTTGTCTGACTGATTGAACTTCGGTTTGTCGTTGATTTGTCCAGTTACGTCTCGCTTCTCTCGCTTCAGACGCACGTGTTGACGCTCCAACTCATTCGCCTTCTCCAGGATGAGTCGAAACAAAATCTTCGGGTCCTTCGCAGCCTCCGCATGGGTGAAACGGACGCACTGCTTAACTCCCTGCTTTAATGATTGGGGAAGCAGGTTTGCGATCAGCCGCTTGCACTTCTCTTTCGTGCCATTGGGCCCGCTGAAGCATTCCGTGAGACCGTTCTCATCCACTATAGAGTTGAAAGTCTTGTAGTAGTCCATCAACCGAGCATTCACATCGCTTTCACGTAGGTTAATGACCAGCTTCCGCTTAAACAACTCCTTGATGTCGGGGAGCGTGTCGTTCTTGATGCTGCTCACTATGTGCTCGATCTCTGCGAGTAGCATGCCTTCCGTAGCGTCGACCGACTGCACATTGAGCTGTAGATCGCAGAATACATCAAGTAGTTGAGGTTGAAAAGAATCCTTGATACTCTGCACCACTGCCTCGTAGTCTTCACCAGTCACTCGACAGCGGGCTTGCATCTTGGATTCGTAGTCGCGTCTTTTCCGCTTCCATCGAACAAGGGCCTCGTGCGAGACTGACTCGATCATGGGTGGCAAGATTGGCGTAAACAGCGGGACGGCACCAGTGGGTCCATCCACTCCAGCAGCGCGCACCATTCTGGTCACAGCTGGGTCTTCGAGGGTCCAACGACGGTCTTCAATCGAGATATCAGGATCCTCGTCTAAGTAGATATGGCTTCGGTTCCACTGTAGGCAGCCAAACAGTGGTAATTCTTACTAGAGAATTCTTTGTAGTGTTTCCCGGGTCCGAATACCAAAACTCCAACACAGCGATGCGCACGAAATAGTAGCCGAATGTATTGATGTGTTGGTGACTTGGAAGATTGGAAAGTGAGTGCCTTGGAAAACCGTGAGTCTGGTGCTAACCAGCCCGTGCTCGCCAAGGTGAATACAAAGAGAGAGAGGACTATCGTGGACAGACTGCTGAGAATGTACATGCAACGCACCAAAGGAAACATGCAGTTGGGCTTACTAAATCCTAATAAGTCAACTTGCTCACCAAGATCACAGAGCTGTACCCATTGTCCACTCGGACACATGCGGGTACTTCTGTGATCTTCACTGTCGACATCTCGGGTACTGAGCCCGCCGCTCAGCACCAGATCTGGATGTCTGTCAACCAGCTCGAAGTTCCACTGCGGTAAATCCAAGCTGGAAAACCCGGAATCCATTACACCGAGCCTTCTTTCTTGCCGCCAACACGCGCGTACCACTGCGCTGTCTCGTGCAAGTGAAAGTCTACAGTCCAGGAGCTCAAGTACCCGTCCTTGCGATGTGAAACATGACCATGAGGCAGCTCCTTGCGTCGCACAGCGTCCAGCAACATCTTCACACATGAGCGAGGCGCCAATTTCTTTGCCTGTGAGTCCAGTAGCTGCAGCGTGCATCGACTCATACTCAGAGGCTGCAGCGTGACACGTAGGCCTGTCCTGTCTTCCTTGACAGCTCGTTCTCGCTATGTCTCCAGTGCCAGCAGCGTCAGGAACGTCTCGATGGTAGCTGCCTTCAAGTCGAGATGACGTTCGAGCCAATCTCGAGCTAGCGACACCAGCGTCAGGTCCCCACCCGCTCGTGCTCGTTGACTCGCGTACTTGACCGCCACAACATGCGTCTCGTTCGTCTGCTCTTGGAAGACCAATGACAGCAATCGTCGGAGCTGATCTCGATGCAGAGCCGTCGAGAAGAGCAGCGAGCGGAAGTGAACCGCGTCTTCGTCCAGCAGATACAGCAGTGCGCGGGCCGCTTTCCCGTCTCGACCAGCTCGTCCGACTTGCTGCACATACGCCTCCACGGACGAGGGCATGTGGAAGTGCACCACTGCACGCACATTCTTCTTGTCGATGCCCCATGCCGAACGCCACCGTGGCCACCACCACACGCACGCGTCCTCTCGCGAAGCCAGTGCGGACCTTCTCCTTGGCGTCAGACGCCATGCCGGCATGGAACGCCAGCACTTTGCCCGAACTCCGCCACGTAGACGGCAGCTGTTCTCGAAGTAGAGCTGCCAACTCCTCGGTTTGTCGTTGCTGGTGGACGTACACGATGACACCGCCACCGCCTTTGGAGCCTCTGCTGAGTTCGGGGAGAATGTGCACGAGATGTCGCAGTCTCTCCTCGTTCGAGCGCACAGATCGAACCTCCAGCGCCAAGTTTCTGCGTTGCCACGGCATCTGGAGCACCATCTCGTCTTCGTTTTCAGGGCTTTCGACTTGATATTGACGACGTGAACGTAGTTGACGCAGAACATCATGTACGACGCGTCTGGAGGCAGTGGCAGTCACGCAGAGAACGCACTGAGCGTGGCGGAAGACCTCTGCTAGCCGCAGATAACTCGGTCGAAAATGATGAGACCACTCGGATACACAATGAGCCTCGTCGACGCAAACCAGAGCCAGACGCGCTCGAACTCGAGGCAGGGCCAGCAGTGCCTGCATTCCTGCGCCCAGAGCCTTCTCCGGCGACAGGAAGATGAGGGAGAGTTTGTCTACCAGTAGATCACGCACAAAGGCCGCATGCTTCGCCTTGGAAGTAGCGTCGGACGAGCCCGAGAGACACACAGCACGCGCCTTCAGCGCAGCAGGGAGACTCTCGTATTGGTCGTTCATCAGCGCGATCAACGGAGAGATGACGAGTGTAATGCCAGGGAGGAAGAGTGCCGGGAACTGGTAGCACAGAGACTTACCGGCACCTGTCGGCAGCACCAGTAGCGTGTCTTTCCGACGTAGCACTCGCGAGATAGCCCACTGCTGACCAGAGCGGAACTCGGCGTGGCCGAACACCAGACGCAAGTTCGTGAGCATCGCTCGTCTCTGCTCTTCTTCGGAAGCCTCGATGTCTAAGGGCACGCACTCAATAGCTTCTGCTTCAGCTGCTGACTCACTGAACCGAGTCGAAGAAGACGCCGTGAAGAGAGTCTGTAGCGCCAGCGGGACGTGGTCGTCTTCCCAGAGGAAGAAATCGCAGCGACCTTCGTCGAAACTCAGCGGACAGGCAAAGAATCTGCGACCGTGGTTCTTGTTCTTCTTCTTGACTTTTAAGCTCTGACAGACCAGCGCATGATGACATCTCGGGGGTTCCAATCCCTGCTTAGGGGACTTCGAGTCAGTTGCCTGATTAGTGAGCTCATGCGCCTTCTCCGCCTTGTCCAACGCCTCCAGACATTCCTTAATGAAGTCCACTCCGTCGTCAGCCAGCAAAGACTTGTCCAGCTTGCGTTGTTGACTGCCATTGGCATCGACAACCGGCGCGATTCCTGTCTACCAGGGGTGTCGGCCAAAATATGGCTCTGGAGCGTCGGGGCTAAGGCCGTATCTACCTTCTACGGACGCATTGCGGACTCTATGCGTATGGACCCGTTAGCGAGGCTACATGAGGAGGTGGAAAGCGTCTTCGTCCAGTGAGTTCTCATTCCGAGCTCTTTGTGCGTCCTCGGCCTTCCATCGCTCAAATTCTGCAGCGTTTCCAGCTTTAAAGGCACCAGAATCCACATTGTCACTGTCTTCTTCAGCGTCAAAGTCATCGAGACTTAGTGCACTGTTCTCAGTCGAAGCAAAGCCCCAAGAGTTTTCTTCTACGTCGTCTGGAGCTCTGCGTTTCCCTGTTTCTGTAGTTTCCTTCGCGTTGCCGTCATTGGTAGCCATCAACGACGCTGTCGTAGTAGAGAGTCCCAGAGAGGACGCCTTAGCAGCGCCAAGGATGCTGTCCATCTCTTCCTCGTCCGCTCCTTTCTGTCCCACTTGATCCTTGCCGAAGACCCGGCAAAGCCTGTTTCCTGGCGTTCTCGTTCCTGCTGTTTGGTCCGCTCTGCAGCTTCATCCAGAGGCTTCTTGGCCGACCCATTGCGCCACAACTGCTGACGTTCCTGCACGGACATGGAGAGCCCAATGACGCCCACTTTTCGCTCATTTTCTACTTTCTGCTGCGTCTTCTTCGCCGATTTTTCGGTTTCCGAGGTTCTGACTGCATTGGTCTCCGCTGCATTCTTGCTTTTCTTCTTTTTCTTCTTGTCTAACGCTCGTAATAGCCACGCAGCATCGTCGGTGCCAGAGTTCGAATCTTTTTGAGACTTAGCAGGAGTATTTGACGCTTTGACAGCACTTCTGCGTGGCACAAAAAGAGATGTGGATGTCGAAGAAGATGTCGAAGAAGATGAACTAGGTGCTGGAGTTGTTTGAAGCACTTGCGCATGTTTGACTTCACATAGTTGTCACTCACGGCACTTGGTGCGTTTTCTGGCTTCCATCGCTCGGGTCTTTTCAATGACAACTTTTCAGCTTCCGGAAAAATTGTGCTCGGGGATGTCAAATTTTTTAATTTCTTGCTGTTCAGGGAAAGTCCACCATCTGTCCTCCTTGGACGTAAATTCCTCATCGTGGACCCTTCTTTAGCAGCTGGCAAATCTTCACCGCACGTGTCCGATACAACGCCCAGAGACGTGCCTCCTGTTCGTCCTGCGTCCGATTTGCATCGGACAGTCTTCAAGAGAGCGAGCCTGGTCTTGCGATAATAACGAGACGACCAACTTCGTTCTCTCTCTCGACACCTTTGTTCTAAGTGACAGCTTTCGACTGGCGCGACCACGGCATTCGGTCCTCATTGGCAGTCAAACGCCAACATCACTTGTGCACCCGCGTCTTCTTGTGCACGCAGAGCAACGCGAAGCATGCCATCCACACGCAGAGCTCGATGCACTTTTTGCATGGTCACACACGGGGCTGAAGCTAGCTTCTTCTGGGTGAATAACCGGCAGCATCTCGCTCATGTGTGTGATGGTCAGACGCAGTGTTCAGGACGCCAAGCTCTCCGCGTCGCTCCACTTTGTGTCCACGCAGCGTAGAGCAGCATTCCCTCATAGCGTCCTACTCACCAGACCTGGCCAGCAGCGGCAACGGTTAATGCTGCGTGCACGACCACGTCCAGTGTGTGTACTTGGTTGCTCTTTGTCGTCTGGTGATTCGTCTTCAACCTGCCCCCACCTTGTCGTCGTCGAGCATTCCGGCACACATCCAAGTACGAGGAGTACAGGACTCAGCACCGCCATGAGCGGAGCTTGGGGTGTACTTAATGTGGCCGAGCCGGATAACGTACAAGCCACTCAGTAGTTGCGTAGACAGCATCGTACTCTCCGACGCGCTCGTCTTCACGACGAACATCACGTGGGCCGCAGCGCACGAGCAAGAAAAGGTTGACTTCAATGTACGCGGTGCCCAACCGTACGACCCCGTGTGCATGTACACACTGGTCTCCGAGCCGCCAGTCGGTGCTTCAGTGTTCGCCACCGTCATGGAGTAGAACATGTACGTGCCACAGTGAGAGCACCGAGTAGAGCGGCTCCCACAGCACCAGCTCAACTGTAAAGACTTCGACAAGATACAGATCATGGACTGTGTGAGGATTGTCAGAGGATTGCACAGGTCTTGACGCAGGCAGTTGGGCCACCGCTACTGGAGGATTCACCACTTGGGCGATGGGCAACTGGAAGAATTTGAGTGTGTCGGTTGAGTCGATTGTTGAAGTCTAGAGGTGACAAAACCACACGGACAATTAGCGTGTGTAAAGTGTGTGTGGCACGATGTGCAGTACTCACCCAGATGCAGAGATAGGCATGACTACCGAGCTGGAAAAGTGGGGGACAGTGTACCGGTACACCGGTCCGGTAGTACCGAGCGAGGCACAGCTTTAGGGATGGGACTTTAGCTACAGGAGGCAACTTGCAGCGATTTGAGGCACTTGTTGCCTCCGAGGCCGATTCGTAAATGAAGCCGAATGATCAACCGGCGGCTGAGAGCGAGTGGACGCCGACCACCCACTCAGCCACTGTGTTTTCCACGGTTTGCCAGGCATCCCATCCGGGTTCGTGCACTGGGCTCTGTCTATCAGCGAGCACATGCTCGCCGATCGCACTCACATTGGCAGGTTCCTCTCTTACTTTATATCTCTATATCTTTAAATTTATTGTTTTTTCAGTTTTGACAGAGTGTAAAAAAAGAAATGTGGTTGTGATAGAAATATGAAGGCAACCCAGCTCTATCGGCATAAGCAGATTTGGTCCATCTGCAATCCCCATCTCGTCTTGCATCCTGCGTCCGACTTCGCGCAGTATAAATCGGTGCTGGGTTCTCAGTCCAGCAAAACCCGGGTCTCAACGTAAGCTAAGCACAGTGTATGCCACACCCAAGTTGAAGCTCTCAATAGTGGCCCCTTCACGAGCAAAGGTGAAGCTACTACAAGCTGGATTCCGACGGCATTATAGTCACATCATTCCATCAACCGGATCAGTAACTGCGCTGCTGTTCGTACCCAGCTACTACAATACAGAACACGCACTGCACAAATGTTCGGTCCAACTCGATGCTTTCACACTGTCAGAACTAGTAGCCTACTTCCAGTGTTCCGATGCATGAGTGCCCGACGTCGGGCATGACTACGCGAAGCGCGCTGGAAAGTAACTCACAGCAAGCTTAGTAATTTATCACCCATGAACAGCTTTATTCTTCTATAGACGCTAAATCCTTACTTGCTGTAGCTTGATTCTCCACTAACACTCTGTTTGCAATCTGTACGATGCGCTCGAAGGCGACGTCGGAGTAGCGACGCCAGCAGACGTGGTCGCGCCACTGTCGTGTCGGGAGTTGCGGCGTCGTAAGCCCGTGAAACACCTTGGCCACCGCATAGCTCGTCCACATGATCTCCTCTCTGTCCTCGGCACTACTTTCCTCCATCGGATTCCCACCAAGACGCAGCTGTATCAGCGAGCTCGTGTCTCGCTCAATTGCCTCGATCAGAGATGCGGTAAGAGGACGTAGCATCTTGTGTAGTAAACGTTCGTCTTCCTCTCCTTCGTCACTATCTTCGTCCTCGAAGTAGTGCACGAGTTTTGTCTCCAGAGCGAGGGCCTTACTCTCAAGATCTTCTTCATTCTCGTCGTGCGGTCTGGACGGAGATGGCGCTGGCAGCGCAGCTGCGTGTAGTGCACTGTACAGCTGCGCAAGACGAGCGAGCTGCCGTGACTCGAGGTGTTCGTGCTTCGCGTACAGACTGGCGGTCCATCGTTCCGCAGCCTCGGTCTTCATCTCTTCGGTCTCGTCGACTCGCCAGCTCAGCTGCAGCTGGAACGCTGGCTGCGACAGCGTCAGGCGCTGGATCTGGCCAGTCTGTTGCGCAGCTCGCAGCTCCTGTAGCATCCGCCGTTCGTTGGTTGCTGCAGCCACCGCAGCAGCGTTCGTCTCTCCCTCCTGTTGCGCATCTGAAGTCGCCAAAGGCGTTACAGAGCCTTCTTTCTTGCCGCCAACACGCGCGTACCACTGCGCTGTCTCGTGCAAGTGAAAGTCTACAGTCCAGGAGCTCAAGTACCCGTCCTTGCGATGTGAAACATGACCATGAGGCAGCTCCTTGCGTCGCGCAGCGTCCAGCAACATCTTCACACATGAGCGAGGCGCCAATTTCTTCGCCTGTGAGTCCAGTAGCTGCAGCGTGCATCGACTCATACTCTGAGGCTGCAGCGTGACACGTAGGCCTGTCCTGTCTTCCTTGACAGCTCGTTCTCGCTGTGTCTCCAGTGCCAGCAGCGTCAGGAACGTCTCGATGGTAGCTGCCTTCAAGTCGAGATGACGTTCGAGCCAATCTCGAGCTAGCGACACCAGCGTCAGGTCCCCACCCGCTCGTTGACTCGCGTACTTGACCGCCACAACATGCGTCTCGGACAGACCAGCGCATGATGACATCTCGGGGGTTCCAATCCCTGCTTAGGGGACTTCGAGTCAGTTGCCTGATTAGTGAGCTCATGCGCCTTCTCCGCCTTGGCCAACGCCTCCAGACATTCCTCAATGAAGTCCACTCCGTCGTCAGCCAGCAAAGACTTGTCCAGCTTGCGTTGTTGACTGCCATTGGCATCGACAACTGGCGCGATTCCTGTCGACTTCTCGCCAGTAGCTTCGTCCAGTGAGTTCTCATTCCGAGCTCGCAGATAAGCTGGACGCTTCTTGGCACGTCCAGAACTTCCTTTGAAGCGCTTGCGCATGTTTAACTTGACAAAATTGTCACTCACAGCTCTCTGTGCGTCCTCGGCCTTCCATCGCTCAAATCCTGCAGCGTTTCCAGCTTTAAAGGCACCAGAATCCACATTGTTACTGTCTTCTTCAGCGTCAAAGTCATCGAGACTTAGTGCACTGTTCTCAGTCGAAGCAAAGCCCCAAGAGTTTTCTTCTACGTCGTCTGGAGCTCTGCGTTTCCCTGTTTCTGTAGTTTCCTTCGCGTTGCCGTCATTGGTAGCCATCAACGACGCTGTCGTAGTAGAGAGTCCCAGAGAGGACGCCTTAGCAGCGCCAAGGATGCTGTCCATCTCTTCCTCGTCCGCTCCTTTCTGTCCCACTTGATCCTTGCCGAAGACTTCTTGGAAGACCCGGTCAAAGCCTGTTTCCTGGCGTTCTCGTTCCTGCTGTTTGGTATGCTCTGCAGCTTCATCCAGAGGCTTCTTGGTCGACCCATTGCGCCACAACTGCTGACGTTCCTGCACGGACATGGAGAGCCCAATGACGCCCACTTTTCGCTCATTTTCTACTTTCTGCTGCGTCTGCTTCGCCGATGTTTCGGTTCCCGAGGTTCTGACTGCATTGGTCTCCGCTGCATTCTTGCTTTTCTTCTTTTTCTTCTTGCCTAACGCTCGTAATAGCCACGCAGCATCGTCGGTGCCAGAGTTCGAATCTTTTTGAGACTTAGCAGGAGTATTTGACGCTTTGACAGCACTTCTGCGTGGCACAAAAAGAGATGTGGATGTCGAAGAAGATGTCGAAGAAGATGAACTATGTGCTGGAGCTGTTTGAAGCATTTGCGCATGTTTAACTTCACATAGTTGTCACTCACGGCACTTTGTGCGTTTTCTGGCTTCCATCGCTCGGGTCTTTTCAATGACAACTCTTTCAGCTTCCGGAAAAATTGTGCTCGGGGATGTCAAAAATTTTAATTTCTTGCTGTTCAGGGAAAGTCCACCATCTGTCCTCCTTGGACGCATCGTGGACCCTTCTTTAGCAGCTGGCAAATCGTCACCGCACGTGTCCGATACAACGCCCAGAGACGTGCCTCCTGTTCGTCCTGCGTCCGATTTGCATCGGACAGTCTTCAAGAGAGCGAGCCTGGTCTTGCGATAATAACGAGACGACCAACTTCGTTCTCTCTCTCGACACCTTTGCTCTAAGTGACAGCTTTCGACTGGCGCGACCACGGCATTCGGTCCTCATTGGCAGTCAAACGCCAACATCACTTGTGCACCCGCGTCTTCTTGTGCACGCAGAGCAACGCGAAGCATGCCATCCACACGCAGAGCTCGATGCACTTTTTGCATGGTCACACACGGGGCTGAAGCTAGCTTCTTCTGGGTGAATAACCGGCAGCATCTCGCTCATGTGTGTGATGGTCAGACGCAGTGTTCAGGACGCCAAGCTCTCCGCGTCGCTCCACTTTGTGCCCACGCAGCGTAGAGCAGCATTCCCTCATAGCGTCCTACTCACCAGACCTGGCCAGCAGCGGCAACGGTAAATGCTGCGTGCACGACCACGTCCAGTGTGTGTACTTGGTTGCTCTTTGTCGTCTGGTGATCCGTCTTCAACCTGCCCCCACCTTGTCGTCGTCGAGCATTCCGGCACACATCCAAGTACGAGGAGTACAGGACTCAGCACCGCCATGACCGGAGCTTGGGGTGTACTTGGTCTGGCCGAGCCGGATAACGTACAGGCCACTCAGTAGTTGCGTAGCCAGCATCGTCCTCTCCGACTCGCTCGTCTTCACGACGAACATCACGTGGGCCGCAGCGCACGAGCAAGAATAGGTTGAGTTCAACGTACGCGTGGCCGAGCCGTACGACCCCGTGTGCATGTACACACTGGTCTCCGAGCCGCCAGTCGGTGCTTCAGTGTTCGCCACCGTCATGGAGTAGAACATGTACGTGCCACAGTGAGAGCACCGAGTAGAACGGCTCCCACAGCACCAGCTCAACTGTAAAGACTTCGACAAGATACAGACCATGGACTGTGTGAGGATTGTCAGAGGATTGCACAGGTTTTGACGTAGGCAGTTGGACCACCGCTACTGGAGGATTCATCACTTGGGCGATGGGCAACTGGAAGAATTTGAGTGTGTCGGTTGAGTCGATTGTTGAAGTCTAGAGGTGACAAAACCACACGGACAATTAGCGTGTGTAAAGTGTGTGTGGCACGATGTGCAGTACTCACCCGGATGCAGAGATAGGCATGACTACCGAGCTGGGACAGTGTACCGGTACACCGGTCCGGTAGTACCGAGCGAGGCACAGCTTTAGGGATGGGACTTTAGTTACAGGAGGCAACTTGCAGCGATTCGAGGCACTTGTTGCCTCCGAGGCCGATTCGTAAATGAAGCCGAATGATCAACCGGCGGCTGAGAGCGAGTGGACGCCGACCACCCACTCAGCCACTGTGTTTTCCACGGTTTGCCAGGCATCCCATCCGGGTTCGTGCACTGGGCTCTGTCTATCAGCGAGCACATGCTCGCCGATCGCACTCACATTGGCAGGTTCCTCTCTTACTTTATATCTCTATATCTTTAAATTTATTGTTTTTTCAGTTTTGACAGAGTGTAAAAAAAGAAATGTGGTTGTGATAGAAATATGAAGGCAACCCAGCTCTATCGGCATAAGCAGATTTGGTCCGGTCTGCAATCCCCATCTCGTCTTGCATCCTGCGTCCGACTTCGCGCAGTATAAATCGGTGCTGGGTTCTCAGTCCAGCAAAACCCGGGTCTCAACGTAAGCTAAGCACAGTGTATGCCACACCCAAGTTGAAGCTCTCAATAGTGGCCCCTTCACGAGCAAAGGTGAAGCTGGATTCCGACGGCATTATAGTCACATCATTCCATCAACCGGATCAGTAACTGCGCTGCTGTTCGTACCCAGCTACTACAATACAGAACACGCACTGCACAAATGTTCGGTCCAACTCGATGCTTTCACACTGTCAGAACTAGTAACCTACTTCCAGTGTTCCGATGCATGAGTGCCCGACGTCGGGCATGACAACGCAAAGCTGGAAAGTAACTCACAGCAAGCTTAGTAATTTATCACCCATGAACAGCTTTATTCTTCTATAGACGCTGAATCCTTACTTGCTGTAGCTTGATCCTCCACTAACACTCTGTTTGCAATCTGTACGATGCGCTCGAAGGCGACGTCGGAGTAGCGACGCCAGCAGACGTGGTCGCGCCACTGTCGTGTCGGGAGTTGCGGCGTCGTAAGCCCGTGAAACACCTTGGCCACCGCATAGCTCGTCCACATGATCTTCTCTCTGTCCTCGGCACTACTTTCCTCCATCGGATTCCCACCAAGACGCAGCTGTATCAGCGAGCTCGTGTCTCGCTCAATTGCCTCGATCAGAGATGCGGTAAGAGGACGTAGCATCTTGTGTAGTAAACGTTCGTCTTCCTCTCCTTCGTCACTATCTTCGTCCTCGAAGTAGTGCACGAGTTTCGTCTCCAGAGCGAGGGCCTTACTCTCAAGATCTTCTTCATTCTCGTCGTGCGGTCTGGACGGAGATGGCGCTGGCAGCGCAGCTGCGTGTAGTGCACTGTACAGCTGCGCAAGACGAGCGAGCTGCCGTGACTCGAGGTGTTCGTGCTTCGCGTACAGACTGGCGGTCCATCGTTCCGCAGCCTCGGTCTTCATCTCTTCGGTCTCGTCGACTCGCCAGCTCAGCTGCAGCTGGAACGCTGGCTGCGACAGCGTCAGGCGCTGGATCTGGCCAGTCTGTTGCGCAGCTCGCAGCTCCTGTAGCATCCGCCGTTCGTTGGTTGCTGCAGCCACCGCAGCAGCGTTCGTCTCTCCCTCCTGTTGCGCATCTAAAGTCGCCAAAGGCGTTGCAGAGCCTTCTTTCTTGCCGCCAACACGCGCGTACCACTGCGCTGTCTCGTGCAAGTGAAAGTCTACAGTCCAGGAGCTCAAGTACCCGTCCTTGCGATGTGAAACATGACCATGAGGCAGCTCCTTGCGTCGCGCAGCGTCCAGCAACATCTTCACACATGAGCGAGGCGCCAATTTCTTCGCCTGTGAGTCCAGTAGCTGCAGCGTGCATCGACTCATACTCTGAGGCTGCAGCGTGACACGTAGGCCTGTCCTGTCTTCCTTGACAGCTCGTTCTCGCTGTGTCTCCAGTGCCAGCAGCGTCAGGAACGTCTCGATGGTAGCTGCCTTCAAGTCGAGATGACGTTCGAGCCAATCTCGAGCTAGCGACACCAGCGTCAGGTCCCCACCCGCTCGTTGACTCGCGTACTTGACCGCCACAACATGCGTCTCGGACAGACCAGCGCATGATGACATCTCGGGGGTTCCAATCCCTGCTTAGGGGACTTCGAGTCAGTTGCCTGATTAGTGAGCTCATGCGCCTTCTCCGCCTTGGCCAACGCCTCCAGACATTCCTCAATGAAGTCCACTCCGTCGTCAGCCAGCAAAGACTTGTCCAGCTTGCGTTGTTGACTGCCATTGGCATCGACAACTGGCGCGATTCCTGTCGACTTCTCGCCAGTAGCTTCGTCCAGTGAGTTCTCATTCCGAGCTCGCAGATAAGCTGGACGCTTCTTGGCACGTCCAGAACTTCCTTTGAAGCGCTTGCGCATGTTTAACTTGACAAAATTGTCACTCACAGCTCTCTGTGCGTCCTCGGCCTTCCATCGCTCAAATTCTGCAGCGTTTCCAGCTTTAAAGGCACCAGAATCCACATTGTTACTGTCTTCTTCAGCGTCAAAGTCATCGAGACTTAGTGCACTGTTCTCAGTCGAAGCAAAGCCCCAAGAGTTTTCTTCTACGTCGTCTGGAGCTCTGCGTTTCCCTGTTTCTGTAGTTTCCTTCGCGTTGCCGTCATTGGTAGCCATCAACGACGCTGTCGTAGTAGAGAGTCCCAGAGAGGACGCCTTAGCAGCGCCAAGGATGCTGTCCATCTCTTCCTCGTCCGCTCCTTTCTGTCCCACTTGATCCTTGCCGAAGACTTCTTGGAAGACCCGGTCAAAGCCTGTTTCCTGGCGTTCTCGTTCCTGCTGTTTGGTATGCTCTGCAGCTTCATCCAGAGGCTTCTTGGTCGACCCATTGCGCCACAACTGCTGACGTTCCTGCACGGACATGGAGAGCCCAATGACGCCCACTTTTCGCTCATTTTCTACTTTCTGCTGCGTCTTCTTCGCCGATGTTTCGGTTCCCGAGGTTCTGACTGCATTGGTCTCCGCTGCATTCTTGCTTTTCTTCTTTTTCTTCTTGCCTAACGCTCGTAATAGCCACGCAGCATCGTCGGTGCCAGAGTTCGAATCTTTTTGAGACTTAGCAGGAGTATTTGACGCTTTGACAGCACTTCTGCGTGGCACAAAAAGAGATGTGGATGTCGAAGAAGATGTCGAAGAAGATGAACTAGGTGCTGGAGCTGTTTGAAGCATTTGCGCATGTTTAACTTCACATAGTTGTCACTCACGGCACTTTGTGCGTTTTCTGGCTTCCATCGCTCGGGTCTTTTCAATGACAACTCTTTCAGCTTCCGGAAAAATTGTGCTCGGGGATGTCAAAAATTTTAATTTCTTGCTGTTCAGGGAAAGTCCACCATCTGTCCTCCTTGGACGCAAATTCCTCATCGTGGACCCTTCTTTAGCAGCTGGCAGATCGTCACCGCACGTGTCCGATACAACGCCCAGAGACGTGCCTCCTGTTCGTCCTGCGTCCGATTTGCATCGGACAGTCTTCAAGAGAGCGAGCCTGGTCTTGCGATAATAACGAGACGACCAACTTCGTTCTCTCTCTCGACACCTTTGCTCTAAGTGACAGCTTTCGACTGGCGCGACCACGGCATTCGGTCCTCATTGGCAGTCAACCGCCAACATCACTTGTGCACCCGCGTCTTCTTGTGCACGCAGAGCAACGCGAAGCATGCCATCCACACGCAGAGCTCGATGCACTTTTTGCATGGTCACACACGGGGCTGAAGCTAGCTTCTTCTGGGTGAATAACCGGCAGCATCTCGCTCATGTGTGTGATGGTCAGACGCAGTGTTCAGGACGCCAAGCTCTCCGCGTCGCTCCACTTTGTGCCCACGCAGCGTAGAGCAGCATTCCCTCATAGCGTCCTACTCACCAGACCTGGCCAGCAGCGGCAACGGTAAATGCTGCGTGCACGACCACGTCCAGTGTGTGTACTTGGTTGCTCTTTGTCGTCTGGTGATCCGTCTTCAACCTGCCCCCACCTTGTCGTCGTCGAGCATTCCGGCACACATCCAAGTACGAGGAGTACAGGACTCAGCACCGCCATGACCGGAGCTTGGGGTGTACTTGGTCTGGCCGAGCCGGATAACGTACAGGCCACTCAGTAGTTGCGTAGCCAGCATCGTCCTCTCCGACTCGCTCGTCTTCACGACGAACATCACGTGGGCCGCAGCGCACGAGCAAGAATAGGTTGAGTTCAACGTACGCGTGGCCGAGCCGTACGACCCCGTGTGCATGTACACACTGGTCTCCGAGCCGCCAGTCGGTGCTTCAGTGTTCGCCACCGTCATGGAGTAGAACATGTACGTGCCACAGTGAGAGCACCGAGTAGAACGGCTCCCACAGCACCAGCTCAACTGTAAAGACTTCGACAAGATACAGACCATGGACTGTGTGAGGATTGTCAGAGGATTGCACAGGTTTTGACGTAGGCAGTTGGACCACCGCTACTGGAGGATTCATCACTTGGGCGATGGGCAACTGGAAGAATTTGAGTGTGTCGGTTGAGTCGATTGTTGAAGTCTAGAGGTGACAAAACCACACGGACAATTAGCGTGTGTAAAGTGTGTGTGGCACGATGTGCAGTACTCACCCGGATGCAGAGATAGGCATGACTACCGAGCTGGAAAAGTGGGGGACAGTGTACCGGTACACCGGTCCGGTAGTACCGAGCGAGGCACAGCTTTAGGGATGGGACTTTAGTTACAGGAGGCAACTTGCAGCGATTCGAGGCACTTGTTGCCTCCGAGGCCGATTCGTAAATGAAGCCGAATGATCAACCGGCGGCTGAGAGCGAGTGGACGCCGACCACCCACTCAGCCACTGTGTTTTCCACGGTTTGCCAGGCATCCCATCCGGGTTCGTGCACTGGGCTCTGTCTATCAGCGAGCACATGCTCGCCGATCGCACTCACATTGGCAGGTTCCTCTCTTACTTTATATCTCTATATCTTTAAATTTATTGTTTTTTCAGTTTTGACAGAGTGTAAAAAAAGAAATGTGGTTGTGATAGAAATATGAAGGCAACCCAGCTCTATCGGCATAAGCAGATTTGGTCCGGTCTGCAATCCCCATCTCGTCTTGCATCCTGCGTCCGACTTCGCGCAGTATAAATCGGTGCTGGGTTCTCAGTCCAGCAAAACCCGGGTCTCAACGTAAGCTAAGCACAGTGTATGCCACACCCAAGTTGAAGCTCTCAATAGTGGCCCCTTCACGAGCAAAGGTGAAGCTACTACAAGCTGGATTCCGACGGCATTATAGTCACATCATTCCATCAACCGGATCAGTAACTGCGCTGCTGTTCGTACCCAGCTACTACAATACAGAACACGCACTGCACAAATGTTCGGTCCAACTCGATGCTTTCACACTGTCAGAACTAGTAGCCTACTTCCAGTGTTCCGATGCATGAGTGCCCGACGTCGGGCATGACTACGCGAAGCGCGCTGGAAAGTAACTCACAGCAAGCTTAGTAATTTATCACCCATGAACAGCTTTATTCTTCTATAGACGCTAAATCCTTACTTGCTGTAGCTTGATTCTCCACTAACACTCTGTTTGCAATCTGTACGATGCGCTCGAAGGCGACGTCGGAGTAGCGACGCCAGCAGACGTGGTCGCGCCACTGTCGTGTCGGGAGTTGCGGCGTCGTAAGCCCGTGAAACACCTTGGCCACCGCATAGCTCGTCCACATGATCTCCTCTCTGTCCTCGGCACTACTTTCCTCCATCGGATTCCCACCAAGACGCAGCTGTATCAGCGAGCTCGTGTCTCGCTCAATTGCCTCGATCAGAGATGCGGTAAGAGGACGTAGCATCTTGTGTAGTAAACGTTCGTCTTCCTCTCCTTCGTCACTATCTTCGTCCTCGAAGTAGTGCACGAGTTTCGTCTCCAGAGCGAGGGCCTTACTCTCAAGATCTTCTTCATTCTCGTCGTGCGGTCTGGACGGAGATGGCGCTGGCAGCGCAGCTGCGTGTAGTGCACTGTACAGCTGCGCAAGACGAGCGAGCTGCCGTGACTCGAGGTGTTCGTGCTTCGCGTACAGACTGGCGGTCCATCGTTCCGCAGCCTCGGTCTTCATCTCTTCGGTCTCGTCGACTCGCCAGCTCAGCTGCAGCTGGAACGCTGGCTGCGACAGCGTCAGGCGCTGGATCTGGCCAGTCTGTTGCGCAGCTCGCAGCTCCTGTAGCATCCGCCGTTCGTTGGTTGCTGCAGCCACCGCAGCAGCGTTCGTCTCTCCCTCCTGTTGCGCATCTAAAGTCGCCAAAGGCGTTGCAGAGCCTTCTTTCTTGCCGCCAACACGCGCGTACCACTGCGCTGTCTCGTGCAAGTGAAAGTCTACAGTCCAGGAGCTCAAGTACCCGTCCTTGCGATGTGAAACATGACCATGAGGCAGCTCCTTGCGTCGCGCAGCGTCCAGCAACATCTTCACACATGAGCGAGGCGCCAATTTCTTCGCCTGTGAGTCCAGTAGCTGCAGCGTGCATCGACTCATACTCTGAGGCTGCAGCGTGACACGTAGGCCTGTCCTGTCTTCCTTGACAGCTCGTTCTCGCTGTGTCTCCAGTGCCAGCAGCGTCAGGAACGTCTCGATGGTAGCTGCCTTCAAGTCGAGATGACGTTCGAGCCAATCTCGAGCTAGCGACACCAGCGTCAGGTCCCCACCCGCTCGTTGACTCGCGTACTTGACCGCCACAACATGCGTCTCGGACAGACCAGCGCATGATGACATCTCGGGGGTTCCAATCCCTGCTTAGGGGACTTCGAGTCAGTTGCCTGATTAGTGAGCTCATGCGCCTTCTCCGCCTTGGCCAACGCCTCCAGACATTCCTCAATGAAGTCCACTCCGTCGTCAGCCAGCAAAGACTTGTCCAGCTTGCGTTGTTGACTGCCATTGGCATCGACAACTGGCGCGATTCCTGTCGACTTCTCGCCAGTAGCTTCGTCCAGTGAGTTCTCATTCCGAGCTCGCAGATAAGCTGGACGCTTCTTGGCACGTCCAGAACTTCCTTTGAAGCGCTTGCGCATGTTTAACTTGACAAAATTGTCACTCACAGCTCTCTGTGCGTCCTCGGCCTTCCATCGCTCAAATCCTGCAGCGTTTCCAGCTTTAAAGGCACCAGAATCCACATTGTTACTGTCTTCTTCAGCGTCAAAGTCATCGAGACTTAGTGCACTGTTCTCAGTCGAAGCAAAGCCCCAAGAGTTTTCTTCTACGTCGTCTGGAGCTCTGCGTTTCCCTGTTTCTGTAGTTTCCTTCGCGTTGCCGTCATTGGTAGCCATCAACGACGCTGTCGTAGTAGAGAGTCCCAGAGAGGACGCCTTAGCAGCGCCAAGGATGCTGTCCATCTCTTCCTCGTCCGCTCCTTTCTGTCCCACTTGATCCTTGCCGAAGACTTCTTGGAAGACCCGGTCAAAGCCTGTTTCCTGGCGTTCTCGTTCCTGCTGTTTGGTATGCTCTGCAGCTTCATCCAGAGGCTTCTTGGTCGACCCATTGCGCCACAACTGCTGACGTTCCTGCACGGACATGGAGAGCCCAATGACGCCCACTTTTCGCTCATTTTCTACTTTCTGCTGCGTCTTCTTCGCCGATGTTTCGGTTCCCGAGGTTCTGACTGCATTGGTCTCCGCTGCATTCTTGCTTTTCTTCTTTTTCTTCTTGCCTAACGCTCGTAATAGCCACGCAGCATCGTCGGTGCCAGAGTTCGAATCTTTTTGAGACTTAGCAGGAGTATTTGACGCTTTGACAGCACTTCTGCGTGGCACAAAAAGAGATGTGGATGTCGAAGAAGATGTCGAAGAAGATGAACTATGTGCTGGAGCTGTTTGAAGCATTTGCGCATGTTTAACTTCACATAGTTGTCACTCACGGCACTTTGTGCGTTTTCTGGCTTCCATCGCTCGGGTCTTTTCAATGACAACTCTTTCAGCTTCCGGAAAAATTGTGCTCGGGGATGTCAAAAATTTTAATTTCTTGCTGTTCAGGGAAAGTCCACCATCTGTCCTCCTTGGACGCATCGTGGACCCTTCTTTAGCAGCTGGCAAATCGTCACCGCACGTGTCCGATACAACGCCCAGAGACGTGCCTCCTGTTCGTCCTGCGTCCGATTTGCATCGGACAGTCTTCAAGAGAGCGAGCCTGGTCTTGCGATAATAACGAGACGACCAACTTCGTTCTCTCTCTCGACACCTTTGCTCTAAGTGACAGCTTTCGACTGGCGCGACCACGGCATTCGGTCCTCATTGGCAGCCAAACGCCAACATCACTTGTGCACCCGCGTCTTCTTGTGCACGCAGAGCAACGCGAAGCATGCCATCCACACGCAGAGCTCGATGCACTTTTTGCATGGTCACACACGGGGCTGAAGCTAGCTTCTTCTGGGTGAATAACCGGCAGCATCTCGCTCATGTGTGTGATGGTCAGACGCAGTGTTCAGGACGCCAAGCTCTCCGCGTCGCTCCACTTTGTGCCCACGCAGCGTAGAGCAGCATTCCCTCATAGCGTCCTACTCACCAGACCTGGCCAGCAGCGGCAACGGTAAATGCTGCGTGCACGACCACGTCCAGTGTGTGTACTTGGTTGCTCTTTGTCGTCTGGTGATCCGTCTTCAACCTGCCCCCACCTTGTCGTCGTCGAGCATTCCGGCACACATCCAAGTACGAGGAGTACAGGACTCAGCACCGCCATGACCGGAGCTTGGGGTGTACTTGGTCTGGCCGAGCCGGATAACGTACAGGCCACTCAGTAGTTGCGTAGCCAGCATCGTCCTCTCCGACTCGCTCGTCTTCACGACGAACATCACGTGGGCCGCAGCGCACGAGCAAGAATAGGTTGAGTTCAACGTACGCGTGGCCGAGCCGTACGACCCCGTGTGCATGTACACACTGGTCTCCGAGCCGCCAGTCGGTGCTTCAGTGTTCGCCACCGTCATGGAGTAGAACATGTACGTGCCACAGTGAGAGCACCGAGTAGAACGGCTCCCACAGCACCAGCTCAACTGTAAAGACTTCGACAAGATACAGACCATGGACTGTGTGAGGATTGTCAGAGGATTGCACAGGTTTTGACGTAGGCAGTTGGACCACCGCTACTGGAGGATTCATCACTTGGGCGATGGGCAACTGGAAGAATTTGAGTGTGTCGGTTGAGTCGATTGTTGAAGTCTAGAGGTGACAAAACCACACGGACAATTAGCGTGTGTAAAGTGTGTGTGGCACGATGTGCAGTACTCACCCGGATGCAGAGATAGGCATGACTACCGAGCTGGAAAAGTGGGGGACAGTGTACCGGTACACCGGTCCGGTAGTACCGAGCGAGGCACAGCTTTAGGGATGGGACTTTAGTTACAGGAGGCAACTTGCAGCGATTCGAGGCACTTGTTGCCTCCGAGGCCGATTCGTAAATGAAGCCGAATGATCAACCGGCGGCTGAGAGCGAGTGGACGCCGACCACCCACTCAGCCACTGTGTTTTCCACGGTTTGCCAGGCATCCCATCCGGGTTCGTGCACTGGGCTCTGTCTATCAGCGAGCACATGCTCGCCGATCGCACTCACATTGGCAGGTTCCTCTCTTACTTTATATCTCTATATCTTTAAATTTCTTGTTTTTTCAGTTTTGACAGAGTGTAAAAAAAGAAATGTGGTTGTGATAGAAATATGAAGGCAACCCAGCTCTATCGGCATAAGCAGATTTGGTCCGGTCTGCAATCCCCATCTCGTCTTGCATCCTGCGTCCGACTTCGCGCAGTATAAATCGGTGCTGGGTTCTCAGTCCAGCAAAACCCGGGTCTCAACGTAAGCTAAGCACAGTGTATGCCACACCCAAGTTGAAGCTCTCAATAGTGGCCCCTTCACGAGCAAAGGTGAAGCTACTACAACCGACGGCATTATAGTCACATCATTCCATCAACCGGATCAGTAACTGCGCTGCTGTTCGTACCCAGCTACTACAATACAGAACACGCACTGCACAAATGTTCGGTCCAACTCGATGCTTTCACACTGTCAGAACTAGTAGCCTACTTCCAGTGTTCCGATGCATGAGTGCCCGACGTCGGGCATGACTACGCGAAGCGCGCTGGAAAGTAACTCACAGCAAGCTTAGTAATTTATCACCCATGAACAGCTTTATTCTTCTATAGACGCTAAATCCTTACTTGCTGTAGCTTGATTCTCCACTAACACTCTGTTTGCAATCTGTACGATGCGCTCGAAGGCGACGTCGGAGTAGCGACGCCAGCAGACGTGGTCGCGCCACTGTCGTGTCGGGAGTTGCGGCGTCGTAAGCCCGTGAAACACCTTGGCCACCGCATAGCTCGTCCACATGATCTCCTCTCTGTCCTCGGCACTACTTTCCTCCATCGGATTCCCACCAAGACGCAGCTGTATCAGCGAGCTCGTGTCTCGCTCAATTGCCTCGATCAGAGATGCGGTAAGAGGACGTAGCATCTTGTGTAGTAAACGTTCGTCTTCCTCTCCCTTCGTCACTATCTTCGTCCTCGAAGTAGTGCACGAGTTTCGTCTCCAGAGCGAGGGCCTTACTCTCCAAGATCTTCTTCATTCTCGTCGTGCGGTCTGGACGGAGATGGCGCTGGCAGCGCAGCTGCGTGTAGTGCACTGTACAGCTGCGCAAGACGAGCGAGCTGCCGTGACTCGAGGTGTTCGTGCTTCGCGTACAGACTGGCGGTCCATCGTTCCGCAGCCTCGGTCTTCATCTCTTCGGTCTCGTCGACTCGCCAGCTCAGCTGCAGCTGGAACGCTGGCTGCGACAGCGTCAGGCGCTGGATCTGGCCAGTCTGTTGCGCAGCTCGCAGCTCCTGTAGCATCCGCCGTTCGTTGGTTGCTGCAGCCACCGCAGCAGCGTTCGTCTCTCCCTCCTGTTGCGCATCTAAAGTCGCCAAAGGCGTTGCAGAGCCTTCTTTCTTGCCGCCAACACGCGCGTACCACTGCGCTGTCTCGTGCAAGTGAAAGTCTACAGTCCAGGAGATCAAGTACCCGTCCTTGCGATGTGAAACATGACCATGAGGCAGCTCCTTGCGTCGCGCAGCGTCCAGCAACATCTTCACACATGAGCGAGGCGCCAATTTCTTCGCCTGTGAGTCCAGTAGCTGCAGCGTGCATCGACTCATACTCTGAGGCTGCAGCGTGACACGTAGGCCTGTCCTGTCTCCTGACAGCTCGTTCTCGCTGTGTCTCCAGTGCCAGCAGCGTCAGGAACGTCTCGATGGTAGCTGCCTTCAAGTCGAGATGACGTTCGAGCCAATCTCGAGCTAGCGACACCAGCGTCAGGTCCCCACCCGCTCGTTGACTCGCGTACTTGACCGCCACAACATGCGTCTCGGACAGACCAGCGCATGATGACATCTCGGGGGTTCCAATCCCTGCTTAGGAGACTTCGAGTCAGTTGCCTGATTAGTGAGCTCATGCGCCTTCTCCGCCTTGGCCAACGCCTCCAGACATTCCTCAATGAAGTCCACTCCGTCGTCAGCCAGCAAAGACTTGTCCAGCTTGCGTTGTTGACTGCCATTGGCATCGACAACTGGCGCGATTCCTGTCGACTTCTCGCCAGTAGCTTCGTCCAGTGAGTTCTCATTCCGAGCTCGCAGATAAGCTGGACGCTTCTTGGCACGTCCAGAACTTCCTTTGAAGCGCTTGCGCATGTTTAACTTGACAAAATTGTCACTCACAGCTCTCTGTGCGTCCTCGGCCTTCCATCGCTCAAATCCTGCAGCGTTTCCAGCTTTAAAGGCACCAGAATCCACATTGTTACTGTCTTCTTCAGCGTCAAAGTCATCGAGACTTAGTGCACTGTTCTCAGTCGAAGCAAAGCCCCAAGAGTTTTCTTCTACGTCGTCTGGAGCTCTGCGTTTCCCTGTTTCTGTAGTTTCCTTCGCGTTGCCGTCATTGGTAGCCATCAACGACGCTGTCGTAGTAGAGAGTCCCAGAGAGGACGCCTTAGCAGCGCCAAGGATGCTGTCCATCTCTTCCTCGTCCGCTCCTTTCTGTCCCACTTGATCCTTGCCGAAGACTTCTTGGAAGACCCGGTCAAAGCCTGTTTCCTGGCGTTCTCGTTCCTGCTGTTTGGTATGCTCTGCAGCTTCATCCAGAGGCTTCTTGGTCGACCCATTGCGCCACAACTGCTGACGTTCCTGCACGGACATGGAGAGCCCAATGACGCCCACTTTTCGCTCATTTTCTACTTTCTGCTGCGTCTTCTTCGCCGATGTTTCGGTTCCCGAGGTTCTGACTGCATTGGTCTCCGCTGCATTCTTGCTTTTCTTCTTTTTCTTCTTGCCTAACGCTCGTAATAGCCACGCAGCATCGTCGGTGCCAGAGTTCGAATCTTTTTGAGACTTAGCAGGAGTATTTGACGCTTTGACAGCACTTCTGCGTGGCACAAAAAGAGATGTGGATGTCGAAGAAGATGTCGAAGAAGATGAACTAGGTGCTGGAGCTGTTTGAAGCATTTGCGCATGTTTAACTTCACATAGTTGTCACTCACGGCACTTTGTGCGTTTTCTGGCTTCCATCGCTCGGGTCTTTTCAATGACAACTCTTTCAGCTTCCGGAAAAATTGTGCTCGGGGATGTCAAAAATTTTAATTTCTTGCTGTTCAGGGAAAGTCCACCATCTGTCCTCCTTGGACGCATCGTGGACCCTTCTTTAGCAGCTGGCAAATCGTCACCGCACGTGTCCGATACAACGCCCAGAGACGTGCCTCCTGTTCGTCCTGCGTCCGATTTGCATCGGACAGTCTTCAAGAGAGCGAGCCTGGTCTTGCGATAATAACGAGACGACCAACTTCGTTCTCTCTCTCGACACCTTTGCTCTAAGTGACAGCTTTCGACTGGCGCGACCACGGCATTCGGTCCTCATTGGCAGTCAAACGCCAACATCACTTGTGCACCCGCGTCTTCTTGTGCACGCAGAGCAACGCGAAGCATGCCATCCACACGCAGAGCTCGATGCACTTTTTGCATGGTCACACACGGGGCTGAAGCTAGCTTCTTCTGGGTGAATAACCGGCAGCATCTCGCTCATGTGTGTGATGGTCAGACGCAGTGTTCAGGACGCCAAGCTCTCCGCGTCGCTCCACTTTGTGCCCACGCAGCGTAGAGCAGCATTCCCTCATAGCGTCCTACTCACCAGACCTGGCCAGCAGCGGCAACGGTAAATGCTGCGTGCACGACCACGTCCAGTGTGTGTACTTGGTTGCTCTTTGTCGTCTGGTGATCCGTCTTCAACCTGCCCCCACCTTGTCGTCGTCGAGCATTCCGGCACACATCCAAGTACGAGGAGTACAGGACTCAGCACCGCCATGACCGGAGCTTGGGGTGTACTTGGTCTGGCCGAGCCGGATAACGTACAGGCCACTCAGTAGTTGCGTAGCCAGCATCGTCCTCTCCGACTCGCTCGTCTTCACGACGAACATCACGTGGGCCGCAGCGCACGAGCAAGAATAGGTTGAGTTCAACGTACGCGTGGCCGAGCCGTACGACCCCGTGTGCATGTACACACTGGTCTCCGAGCCGCCAGTCGGTGCTTCAGTGTTCGCCACCGTCATGGAGTAGAACATGTACGTGCCACAGTGAGAGCACCGAGTAGAACGGCTCCCACAGCACCAGCTCAACTGTAAAGACTTCGACAAGATACAGACCATGGACTGTGTGAGGATTGTCAGAGGATTGCACAGGTTTTGACGTAGGCAGTTGGACCACCGCTACTGGAGGATTCATCACTTGGGCGATGGGCAACTGGAAGAATTTGAGTGTGTCGGTTGAGTCGATTGTTGAAGTCTAGAGGTGACAAAACCACACGGACAATTAGCGTGTGTAAAGTGTGTGTGGCACGATGTGCAGTACTCACCCGGATGCAGAGATAGGCATGACTACCGAGCTGGAAAAGTGGGGGACAGTGTACCGGTACACCGGTCCGGTAGTACCGAGCGAGGCACAGCTTTAGGGATGGGACTTTAGTTACAGGAGGCAACTTGCAGCGATTCGAGGCACTTGTTGCCTCCGAGGCCGATTCGTAAATGAAGCCGAATGATCAACCGGCGGCTGAGAGCGAGTGGACGCCGACCACCCACTCAGCCACTGTGTTTTCCACGGTTTGCCAGGCATCCCATCCGGGTTCGTGCACTGGGCTCTGTCTATCAGCGAGCACATGCTCGCCGATCGCACTCACATTGGCAGGTTCCTCTCTTACTTTATATCTCTATATCTTTAAATTTATTGTTTTTTCAGTTTTGACAGAGTGTAAAAAAAGAAATGTGGTTGTGATAGAAATATGAAGGCAACCCAGCTCTATCGGCATAAGCAGATTTGGTCCGGTCTGCAATCCCCATCTCGTCTTGCATCCTGCGTCCGACTTCGCGCAGTATAAATCGGTGCTGGGTTCTCAGTCCAGCAAAACCCGGGTCTCAACGTAAGCTAAGCACAGTGTATGCCACACCCAAGTTGAAGCTCTCAATAGTGGCCCCTTCACGAGCAAAGGTGAAGCTGGATTCCGACGGCATTATAGTCACATCATTCCATCAACCGGATCAGTAACTGCGCTGCTGTTCGTACCCAGCTACTACAATACAGAACACGCACTGCACAAATGTTCGGTCCAACTCGATGCTTTCACACTGTCAGAACTAGTAGCCTACTTCCAGTGTTCCGATGCATGAGTGCCCGACGTCGGGCATGACTACGCGAAGCGCGCTGGAAAGTAACTCACAGCAAGCTTAGTAATTTATCACCCATGAACAGCTTTATTCTTCTATAGACGCTAAATCCTTACTTGCTGTAGCTTGATTCTCCACTAACACTCTGTTTGCAATCTGTACGATGCGCTCGAAGGCGACGTCGGAGTAGCGACGCCAGCAGACGTGGTCGCGCCACTGTCGTGTCGGGAGTTGCGGCGTCGTAAGCCCGTGAAACACCTTGGCCACCGCATAGCTCGTCCACATGATCTCCTCTCTGTCCTCGGCACTACTTTCCTCCATCGGATTCCCACCAAGACGCAGCTGTATCAGCGAGCTCGTGTCTCGCTCAATTGCCTCGATCAGAGATGCGGTAAGAGGACGTAGCATCTTGTGTAGTAAACGTTCGTCTTCCTCTCCTTCGTCACTATCTTCGTCCTCGAAGTAGTGCACGAGTTTCGTCTCCAGAGCGAGGGCCTTACTCTCAAGATCTTCTTCATTCTCGTCGTGCGGTCTGGACGGAGATGGCGCTGGCAGCGCAGCTGCGTGTAGTGCACTGTACAGCTGCGCAAGACGAGCGAGCTGCCGTGACTCGAGGTGTTCGTGCTTCGCGTACAGACTGGCGGTCCATCGTTCCGCAGCCTCGGTCTTCATCTCTTCGGTCTCGTCGACTCGCCAGCTCAGCTGCAGCTGGAACGCTGGCTGCGACAGCGTCAGGCGCTGGATCTGGCCAGTCTGTTGCGCAGCTCGCAGCTCCTGTAGCATCCGCCGTTCGTTGGTTGCTGCAGCCACCGCAGCAGCGTTCGTCTCTCCCTCCTGTTGCGCATCTAAAGTCGCCAAAGGCGTTGCAGAGCCTTCTTTCTTGCCGCCAACACGCGCGTACCACTGCGCTGTCTCGTGCAAGTGAAAGTCTACAGTCCAGGAGCTCAAGTACCCGTCCTTGCGATGTGAAACATGACCATGAGGCAGCTCCTTGCGTTGCGCAGCGTCCAGCAACATCTTCACACATGAGCGAGGCGCCAATTTCTTCGCCTGTGAGTCCAGTAGCTGCAGCGTGCATCGACTCATACTCTGAGGCTGCAGCGTGACACGTAGGCCTGTCCTGTCTTCCTTGACAGCTCGTTCTCGCTGTGTCTCCAGTGCCAGCAGCGTCAGGAACGTCTCGATGGTAGCTGCCTTCAAGTCGAGATGACGTTCGAGCCAATCTCGAGCTAGCGACACCAGCGTCAGGTCCCCACCCGCTCGTTGACTCGCGTACTTGACCGCCACAACATGCGTCTCGGACAGACCAGCGCATGATGACATCTCGGGGGTTCCAATCCCTGCTTAGGGGACTTCGAGTCAGTTGCCTGATTAGTGAGCTCATGCGCCTTCTCCGCCTTGGCCAACGCCTCCAGACATTCCTCAATGAAGTCCACTCCGTCGTCAGCCAGCAAAGACTTGTCCAGCTTGCGTTGTTGACTGCCATTGGCATCGACAACTGGCGCGATTCCTGTCGACTTCTCGCCAGTAGCTTCGTCCAGTGAGTTCTCATTCCGAGCTCGCAGATAAGCTGGACGCTTCTTGGCACGTCCAGAACTTCCTTTGAAGCGCTTGCGCATGTTTAACTTGACAAAATTGTCACTCACAGCTCTCTGTGCGTCCTCGGCCTTCCATCGCTCAAATCCTGCAGCGTTTCCAGCTTTAAAGGCACCAGAATCCACATTGTTACTGTCTTCTTCAGCGTCAAAGTCATCGAGACTTAGTGCACTGTTCTCAGTCGAAGCAAAGCCCCAAGAGTTTTCTTCTACGTCGTCTGGAGCTCTGCGTTTCCCTGTTTCTGTAGTTTCCTTCGCGTTGCCGTCATTGGTAGCCATCAACGACGCTGTCGTAGTAGAGAGTCCCAGAGAGGACGCCTTAGCAGCGCCAAGGATGCTGTCCATCTCTTCCTCGTCCGCTCCTTTCTGTCCCACTTGATCCTTGCCGAAGACTTCTTGGAAGACCCGGTCAAAGCCTGTTTCCTGGCGTTCTCGTTCCTGCTGTTTGGTATGCTCTGCAGCTTCATCCAGAGGCTTCTTGGTCGACCCATTGCGCCACAACTGCTGACGTTCCTGCACGGACATGGAGAGCCCAATGACGCCCACTTTTCGCTCATTTTCTACTTTCTGCTGCGTCTTCTTCGCCGATGTTTCGGTTCCCGAGGCTCTGACTGCATTGGTCTCCGCTGCATTCTTGCTTTTCTTCTTTTTCTTCTTGCCTAACGCTCGTAATAGCCACGCAGCATCGTCGGTGCCAGAGTTCGAATCTTTTTGAGACTTAGCAGGAGTATTTGACGCTTTGACAGCACTTCTGCGTGGCACAAAAAGAGATGTGGATGTCGAAGAAGATGTCGAAGAAGATGAACTAGGTGCTGGAGCTGTTTGAAGCATTTGCGCATGTTTAACTTCACATAGTTGTCACTCACGGCACTTTGTGCGTTTTCTGGCTTCCATCGCTCGGGTCTTTTCAATGACAACTCTTTCAGCTTCCGGAAAAATTGTGCTCGGGGATGTCAAAAATTTTAATTTCTTGCTGTTCAGGGAAAGTCCACCATCTGTCCTCCTTGGACGCAAATTCCTCATCGTGGACCCTTCTTTAGCAGCTGGCAAATCGTCACCGCACGTGTCCGATACAACGCCCAGAGACGTGCCTCCTGTTCGTCCTGCGTCCGATTTGCATCGGACAGTCTTCAAGAGAGCGAGCCTGGTCTTGCGATAATAACGAGACGACCAACTTCGTTCTCTCTCTCGACACCTTTGCTCTAAGTGACAGCTTTCGACTGGCGCGACCACGGCATTCGGTCCTCATTGGCAGCCAAACGCCAACATCACTTGTGCACCCGCGTCTTCTTGTGCACGCAGAGCAACGCGAAGCATGCCATCCACACGCAGAGCTCGATGCACTTTTTGCATGGTCACACACGGGGCTGAAGCTAGCTTCTTCTGGGTGAATAACCGGCAGCATCTCGCTCATGTGTGTGATGGTCAGACGCAGTGTTCAGGACGCCAAGCTCTCCGCGTCGCTCCACTTTGTGCCCACGCAGCGTAGAGCAGCATTCCCTCATAGCGTCCTACTCACCAGACCTGGCCAGCAGCGGCAACGGTAAATGCTGCGTGCACGACCACGTCCAGTGTGTGTACTTGGTTGCTCTTTGTCGTCTGGTGATCCGTCTTCAACCTGCCCCCACCTTGTCGTCGTCGAGCATTCCGGCACACATCCAAGTACGAGGAGTACAGGACTCAGCACCGCCATGACCGGAGCTTGGGGTGTACTTGGTCTGGCCGAGCCGGATAACGTACAGGCCACTCAGTAGTTGCGTAGCCAGCATCGTCCTCTCCGACTCGCTCGTCTTCACGACGAACATCACGTGGGCCGCAGCGCACGAGCAAGAATAGGTTGAGTTCAACGTACGCGTGGCCGAGCCGTACGACCCCGTGTGCATGTACACACTGGTCTCCGAGCCGCCAGTCGGTGCTTCAGTGTTCGCCACCGTCATGGAGTAGAACATGTACGTGCCACAGTGAGAGCACCGAGTAGAACGGCTCCCACAGCACCAGCTCAGCTGTAAAGACTTCGACAAGATACAGACCATGGACTGTGTGAGGATTGTCAGAGGATTGCACAGGTTTTGACGTAGGCAGTTGGACCACCGCTACTGGAGGATTCATCACTTGGGCGATGGGCAACTGGAAGAATTTGAGTGTGTCGGTTGAGTCGATTGTTGAAGTCTAGAGGTGACAAAACCACACGGACAATTAGCGTGTGTAAAGTGTGTGTGGCACGATGTGCAGTACTCACCCGGATGCAGAGATAGGCATGACTACCGAGCTGGGACAGTGTACCGGTACACCGGTCCGGTAGTACCGAGCGAGGCACAGCTTTAGGGATGGGACTTTAGTTACAGGAGGCAACTTGCAGCGATTCGAGGCACTTGTTGCCTCCGAGGCCGATTCGTAAATGAAGCCGAATGATCAACCGGCGGCTGAGAGCGAGTGGACGCCGACCACCCACTCAGCCACTGTGTTTTCCACGGTTTGCCAGGCATCCCATCCGGGTTCGTGCACTGGGCTCTGTCTATCAGCGAGCACATGCTCGCCGATCGCACTCACATTGGCAGGTTCCTCTCTTACTTTATATCTCTATATCTTTAAATTTATTGTTTTTTCAGTTTTGACAGAGTGTAAAAAAAGAAATGTGGTTGTGATAGAAATATGAAGGCAACCCAGCTCTATCGGCATAAGCAGATTTGGTCCGGTCTGCAATCCCCATCTCGTCTTGCATCCTGCGTCCGACTTCGCGCAGTATAAATCGGTGCTGGGTTCTCAGTCCAGCAAAACCCGGGTCTCAACGTAAGCTAAGCACAGTGTATGCCACACCCAAGTTGAAGCTCTCAATAGTGGCCCCTTCACGAGCAAAGGTGAAGCTGGATTCCGACGGCATTATAGTCACATCATTCCATCAACCGGATCAGTAACTGCGCTGCTGTTCGTACCCAGCTACTACAATACAGAACACGCACTGCACAAATGTTCGGTCCAACTCGATGCTTTCACACTGTCAGAACTAGTAGCCTACTTCCAGTGTTCCGATGCATGAGTGCCCGACGTCGGGCATGACAACGCGAAGCGCGCTGGAAAGTAACTCACAGCAAGCTTAGTAATTTATCACCCATGAACAGCTTTATTCTTCTATAGACGCTAAATCCTTACTTGCTGCAGCTTGATTCTCCACTAACACTCTGTTTGCAATCTGTACGATGCGCTCGAAGGCGACGTCGGAGTAGCGACGCCAGCAGACGTGGTCGCGCCACTGTCGTGTCGGGAGTTGCGGCGTCGTAAGCCCGTGAAACACCTTGGCCACCGCATAGCTCGTCCACGTGATCTCCTCTCTGTCCTCAGCATTACTTTCCTCCATCGGACTCCCACCAAGACGCAGCTGTATCAGCGAGCTCGTGTCTCGCTCAATTGCCTCGATCAGAGATGCGGTAAGAGGACGTAGCATCTTGTGTAGTAAACGTTCGTCTTCCTCTCCTTCGTCACTATCTTCGTCCTCGAAGTAGTGCACGAGTTTCGTCTCCAGAGCGAGGGCCTTTCTCTCAAGATCTTCTTCATTCTCGTCGTGCGGTCTGGACGGAGATGGCGCTGGCAGCGCAGCTGCGTGTAGTGCACTGTACAGCTGCGCAAGACGAGCGAGCTGCCGTGACTCGAGGTGTTCGTGCTTCGCGTACAGACTGGCGGTCCATCGTTCCGCAGCCTCGGTCTTCATCTCTTCGGTCTCGTCGACTCGCCAGCTCAGCTGCAGCTGGAACGCTGGCTGCGACAGCGTCAGGCGCTGGATCTGGCCAGTCTGTTGCGCAGCTCGCAGCTCCTGTAGCATCCGCCGTTCGTTGGTTGCTGCAGCCACCGCAGCAGCGTTCGTCTCTCCCTCCTGTTGCGCATCTGAAGTCGCCAAAGGCGTTACAGAGCCTTCTTTCTTGCCGCCAACACGCGCGTACCACTGCGCTGTCTCGTGCAAGTGAAAGTCGACAGTCCAGGAGCTCAAGTACCCGTCCTTGCGATGTGAAACTTGAGCACGAGGCAGCTCCTTGCGTCGCACAGCGTTCAGCAACATCTTCACACATGAGCGAGGCGCCAATTTCTTCGCCTGTGAGTCCAGTAGCTGCAGCGTGCATCGACTCATGCTCAGAGGCTGCAGCGTGACACGTAGGCCTGTCCTGTCTTCCTTGACAGCTCGTTCTCGCTGTGTCTCCAGTGCCAGCAGCGTCAGGAACGTCTCGATGGTAGCTGCCTTCAAGTCGAGATGACGTTCGAGCCAATCTCGAGCTAGCGACACCAGCGTCAGGTCCCCACCCGCTCGTTGACTCGCGTACTTGACCGCCACAACATGCGTCTCGGACAGACCAGCGCATGATGACATCTCGGGGGTTCCAATCCCTGCTTAGGGGACTTCGAGTCAGTTGCCTGATTAGTGAGCTCATGCGCCTTCTCCGCCTTGGCCAACGCCTCCAGACATTCCTCAATGAAGTCCACTCCGTCGTCAGCCAGCAAAGACTTGTCCAGCTTGCGTTGTTGACTGCCATTGGCATCGACAACTGGCGCGATTCCTGTCGACTTCTCGCCAGTAGCTTCGTCCAGTGAGTTCTCATTCCGAGCTCGCAGATAAGCTGGACGCTTCTTGGCACGTCCAGAACTTCCTTTGAAGCGCTTGCGCATGTTTAACTTGACAAAATTGTCACTCACAGCTCTCTGTGCGTCCTCGGCCTTCCATCGCTCAAATCCTGCAGCGTTTCCAGCTTTAAAGGCACCAGAATCCACATTGTTACTGTCTTCTTCAGCGTCAAAGTCATCGAGACTTAGTGCACTGTTCTCAGTCGAAGCAAAGCCCCAAGAGTTTTCTTCTACGTCGTCTGGAGCTCTGCGTTTCCCTGTTTCTGTAGTTTCCTTCGCGTTGCCGTCATTGGTAGCCATCAACGACGCTGTCGTAGTAGAGAGTCCCAGAGAGGACGCCTTAGCAGCGCCAAGGATGCTGTCCATCTCTTCCTCGTCCGCTCCTTTCTGTCCCACTTGATCCTTGCCGAAGACTTCTTGGAAGACCCGGTCAAAGCCTGTTTCCTGGCGTTCTCGTTCCTGCTGTTTGGTATGCTCTGCAGCTTCATCCAGAGGCTTCTTGGTCGACCCATTGCGCCACAACTGCTGACGTTCCTGCACGGACATGGAGAGCCCAATGACGCCCACTTTTCGCTCATTTTCTACTTTCTGCTGCGTCTTCTTCGCCGATGTTTCGGTTCCCGAGGTTCTGACTGCATTGGTCTCCGCTGCATTCTTGCTTTTCTTCTTTTTCTTCTTGCCTAACGCTCGTAATAGCCACGCAGCATCGTCGGTGCCAGAGTTCGAATCTTTTTGAGACTTAGCAGGAGTATTTGACGCTTTGACAGCACTTCTGCGTGGCACAAAAAGAGATGTGGATGTCGACGAAGATGTCGAAGAAGATGAACTAGGTGCTGGAGCTGTTTGAAGCATTTGCGCATGTTTAACTTCACATAGTTGTCACTCACGGCACTTTGTGCGTTTTCTGGCTTCCATCGCTCGGGTCTTTTCAATGACAACTCTTTCAGCTTCCGGAAAAATTGTGCTCGGGGATGTCAAAAATTTTAATTTCTTGCTGTTCAGGGAAAGTCCACCATCTGTCCTCCTTGGACGCAAATTCCTCATCGTGGACCCTTCTTTAGCAGCTGGCAAATCGTCACCGCACGTGTCCGATACAACGCCCAGAGACGTGCCTCCTGTTCGTCCTGCGTCCGATTTGCATCGGACAGTCTTCAAGAGAGCGAGCCTGGTCTTGCGATAATAACGAGACGACCAACTTCGTTCTCTCTCTCGACACCTTTGCTCTAAGTGACAGCTTTCGACTGGCGCGACCACGGCATTCGGTCCTCATTGGCAGTCAACCGCCAACATCACTTGTGCACCCGCGTCTTCTTGTGCACGCAGAGCAACGCGAAGCATGCCATCCACACGCAGAGCTCGATGCACTTTTTGCATGGTCACACACGGGGCTGAAGCTAGCTTCTTCTGGGTGAATAACCGGCAGCATCTCGCTCATGTGTGTGATGGTCAGACGCAGTGTTCAGGACGCCAAGCTCTCCGCGTCGCTCCACTTTGTGCCCACGCAGCGTAGAGCAGCATTCCCTCATAGCGTCCTACTCACCAGACCTGGCCAGCAGCGGCAACGGTAAATGCTGCGTGCACGACCACGTCCAGTGTGTGTACTTGGTTGCTCTTTGTCGTCTGGTGATCCGTCTTCAACCTGCCCCCACCTTGTCGTCGTCGAGCATTCCGGCACACATCCAAGTACGAGGAGTACAGGACTCAGCACCGCCATGACCGGAGCTTGGGGTGTACTTGGTCTGGCCGAGCCGGATAACGTACAGGCCACTCAGTAGTTGCGTAGCCAGCATCGTCCTCTCCGACTCGCTCGTCTTCACGACGAACATCACGTGGGCCGCAGCGCACGAGCAAGAATAGGTTGAGTTCAACGTACGCGTGGCCGAGCCGTACGACCCCGTGTGCATGTACACACTGGTCTCCGAGCCGCCAGTCGGTGCTTCAGTGTTCGCCACCGTCATGGAGTAGAACATGTACGTGCCACAGTGAGAGCACCGAGTAGAACGGCTCCCACAGCACCAGCTCAACTGTAAAGACTTCGACAAGATACAGACCATGGACTGTGTGAGGATTGTCAGAGGATTGCACAGGTTTTGACGTAGGCAGTTGGACCACCGCTACTGGAGGATTCATCACTTGGGCGATGGGCAACTGGAAGAATTTGAGTGTGTCGGTTGAGTCGATTGTTGAAGTCTAGAGGTGACAAAACCACACGGACAATTAGCGTGTGTAAAGTGTGTGTGGCACGATGTGCAGTACTCACCCGGATGCAGAGATAGGCATGACTACCGAGCTGGAAAAGTGGGGGACAGTGTACCGGTACACCGGTCCGGTAGTACCGAGCGAGGCACAGCTTTAGGGATGGGACTTTAGTTACAGGAGGCAACTTGCAGCGATTCGAGGCACTTGTTGCCTCCGAGGCCGATTCGTAAATGAAGCCGAATGATCAACCGGCGGCTGAGAGCGAGTGGACGCCGACCACCCACTCAGCCACTGTGTTTTCCACGGTTTGCCAGGCATCCCATCCGGGTTCGTGCACTGGGCTCTGTCTATCAGCGAGCACATGCTCGCCGATCGCACTCACATTGGCAGGTTCCTCTCTTACTTTATATCTCTATATCTTTAAATTTATTGTTTTTTCAGTTTTGACAGAGTGTAAAAAAAGAAATGTGGTTGTGATAGAAATATGAAGGCAACCCAGCTCTATCGGCATAAGCAGATTTGGTCCGGTCTGCAATCCCCATCTCGTCTTGCATCCTGCGTCCGACTTCGCGCAGTATAAATCGGTGCTGGGTTCTCAGTCCAGCAAAACCCGGGTCTCAACGTAAGCTAAGCACAGTGTATGCCACACCCAAGTTGAAGCTCTCAATAGTGGCCCCTTCACGAGCAAAGGTGAAGCTGGATTCCGACGGCATTATAGTCACATCATTCCATCAACCGGATCAGTAACTGCGCTGCTGTTCGTACCCAGCTACTACAATACAGAACACGCACTGCACAAATGTTCGGTCCAACTCGATGCTTTCACACTGTCAGAACTAGTAGCCTACTTCCAGTGTTCCGATGCATGAGTGCCCGACGTCGGGCATGACTACGCGAAGCGCGCTGGAAAGTAACTCACAGCAAGCTTAGTAATTTATCACCCATGAACAGCTTTATTCTTCTATAGACGCTAAATCCTTACTTGCTGTAGCTTGATTCTCCACTAACACTCTGTTTGCAATCTGTACGATGCGCTCGAAGGCGACGTCGGAGTAGCGACGCCAGCAGACGTGGTCGCGCCACTGTCGTGTCGGGAGTTGCGGCGTCGTAAGCCCGTGAAACACCTTGGCCACCGCATAGCTCGTCCACATGATCTCCTCTCTGTCCTCGGCACTACTTTCCTCCATCGGATTCCCACCAAGACGCAGCTGTATCAGCGAGCTCGTGTCTCGCTCAATTGCCTCGATCAGAGATGCGGTAAGAGGACGTAGCATCTTGTGTAGTAAACGTTCGTCTTCCTCTCCTTCGTCACTATCTTCGTCCTCGAAGTAGTGCACGAGTTTCGTCTCCAGAGCGAGGGCCTTACTCTCAAGATCTTCTTCATTCTCGTCGTGCGGTCTGGACGGAGATGGCGCTGGCAGCGCAGCTGCGTGTAGTGCACTGTACAGCTGCGCAAGACGAGCGAGCTGCCGTGACTCGAGGTGTTCGTGCTTCGCGTACAGACTGGCGGTCCATCGTTCCGCAGCCTCGGTCTTCATCTCTTCGGTCTCGTCGACTCGCCAGCTCAGCTGCAGCTGGAACGCTGGCTGCGACAGCGTCAGGCGCTGGATCTGGCCAGTCTGTTGCGCAGCTCGCAGCTCCTGTAGCATCCGCCGTTCGTTGGTTGCTGCAGCCACCGCAGCAGCGTTCGTCTCTCCCTCCTGTTGCGCATCTAAAGTCGCCAAAGGCGTTGCAGAGCCTTCTTTCTTGCCGCCAACACGCGCGTACCACTGCGCTGTCTCGTGCAAGTGAAAGTCTACAGTCCAGGAGCTCAAGTACCCGTCCTTGCGATGTGAAACATGACCATGAGGCAGCTCCTTGCGTCGCGCAGCGTCCAGCAACATCTTCACACATGAGCGAGGCGCCAATTTCTTCGCCTGTGAGTCCAGTAGCTGCAGCGTGCATCGACTCATACTCTGAGGCTGCAGCGTGACACGTGGGCCTGTCCTGTCTTCCTTGACAGCTCGTTCTCGCTGTGTCTCCAGTGCCAGCAGCGTCAGGAACGTCTCGATGGTAGCTGCCTTCAAGTCGAGATGACGTTCGAGCCAATCTCGAGCTAGCGACACCAGCGTCAGGTCCCCACCCGCTCGTTGACTCGCGTACTTGACCGCCACAACATGCGTCTCGGACAGACCAGCGCATGATGACATCTCGGGGGTTCCAATCCCTGCTTAGGGGACTTCGAGTCAGTTGCCTGATTAGTGAGCTCATGCGCCTTCTCCGCCTTGGCCAACGCCTCCAGACATTCCTCAATGAAGTCCACTCCGTCGTCAGCCAGCAAAGACTTGTCCAGCTTGCGTTGTTGACTGCCATTGGCATCGACAACTGGCGCGATTCCTGTCGACTTCTCGCCAGTAGCTTCGTCCAGTGAGTTCTCATTCCGAGCTCGCAGATAAGCTGGACGCTTCTTGGCACGTCCAGAACTTCCTTTGAAGCGCTTGCGCATGTTTAACTTGACAAAATTGTCACTCACAGCTCTCTGTGCGTCCTCGGCCTTCCATCGCTCAAATCCTGCAGCGTTTCCAGCTTTAAAGGCACCAGAATCCACATTGTTACTGTCTTCTTCAGCGTCAAAGTCATCGAGACTTAGTGCACTGTTCTCAGTCGAAGCAAAGCCCCAAGAGTTTTCTTCTACGTCGTCTGGAGCTCTGCGTTTCCCTGTTTCTGTAGTTTCCTTCGCGTTGCCGTCATTGGTAGCCATCAACGACGCTGTCGTAGTAGAGAGTCCCAGAGAGGACGCCTTAGCAGCGCCAAGGATGCTGTCCATCTCTTCCTCGTCCGCTCCTTTCTGTCCCACTTGATCCTTGCCGAAGACTTCTTGGAAGACCCAGTCAAAGCCTGTTTCCTGGCGTTCTCGTTCCTGCTGTTTGGTATGCTCTGCAGCTTCATCCAGAGGCTTCTTGGTCGACCCATTGCGCCACAACTGCTGACGTTCCTGCACGGACATGGAGAGCCCAATGACGCCCACTTTTCGCTCATTTTCTACTTTCTGCTGCGTCTTCTTCGCCGATGTTTCGGTTCCCGAGGTTCTGACTGCATCGGTCTCCGCTGCATTCTTGCTTTTCTTCTTTTTCTTCTTGCCTAACGCTCGTAATAGCCACGCAGCATCGTCGGTGCCAGAGTTCGAATCTTTTTGAGACTTAGCAGGAGTATTTGACGCTTTGACAGCACTTCTGCGTGGCACAAAAAGAGATGTGGATGTCGAAGAAGATGTCGAAGAAGATGAATATTTGCCACACACGTAATAGCCCACTTGGCCGTCTTGTACGCAGCCAGAACTTCTCCAAAGACACCAACAGTGGAAGCATTAAGAGCCACTGCAACGACAGAACCGATCTTGGAAAGTGTCTCAAGAGCACAGTCGTCATTTTGAGGAATACACTCCAGAGAGCAGGAAACAGGGTACGATAATGGACATTGCGCGATACAGTCGTCTCCATCCTTGCCGTAACCCAATGGACAAATGTTGGTACTGTTGAACGCTACCGATTTACGGTAACACGCTGTGTCATCAGCCACGCCAATCGTTGACCCCACCCAGTTACGGATCGCTCTAGATCCGTACGTAAGACTGTCCCCTCTACGTCAGTAAGTGCAAGATCTGTGGCCGATAATCTCGTTCAGATCGCTCCAAGTTGATCGACTTCAGCTTCTGCGCGTCCATAGAATCCCGCAAGTTGGAAGCCATCGGGTGCAGTAGCAGTACTTTA